TTCAAATTAAAGTTCAAACTTGCACTTATCATTGCATAATAAATTAATAATACTTCAAATTAATCTAACAAACTAAAACATTAAGCATAATACGTCTAATAATTTTAAAATAACACAAATTGCCTCAAATCAACTTAAAATCTTAAATACGAATGTCTGGAGAACGCGCAAGACAACTCTTTATATGCTTCCTTAAACAGCCTGTGCCCTCCATCTTTGGACGATGAGTGAAGACTCGACCACAGTTCTTGCACTTTACTATGTATACTTCTTCATTTTCTTCTACCACATGAAAGTTTTCCCAACATATGGGCGCACTCTAGAATCACCGGGCATGATTTAACTTGAATTAAAAATTTAAGTTTGAGAATGAGAGATGAGTGAAAACTTGAATACTTCAATTTGAGTTTGAGAAATGAGAGAGATTGATGATTTTGTGAGAAAAATAAAGAATGAGGGGGTATTTATAGTTGAAATAGGAAAAAGGTGTAATTATAAAAAGTTTGGGTTAAAACAAAGATGGTGGGGGAAGGGGGGGAGGTTAAATGGCTATTTTATAAATAGCCAACGGCTATTTGGCAGGTAAAAAGGCCATTTTTTAAATGCCATAACGGCTAGAAACGGCCAAATTTGGCAGATTTTTTTTTTAAAAAAAATAGTCGTTGGGCCCGTTTAGGACCGGTCGAATCGACCCACTTCCTAGCCGGTCACGGGCCCAAACGGTTCCGGTCTCGCGGGCCTCAATCATGGTACTGGCCCACTTCCAAGCCCACCCCCACCTGGTCCTGGTCCGGTTAGGCACGGTTAGGCCCACCGCCCATTTGGGCTCGCTGGCCTGGGCCGCCCCGGGCCTAACCGGCCCACATGCCACCCTTAGGGGGTGAATCCAGTAGTGATTTTACCTGTATACTGGAGTGAGTGAGTCGTCGAACGTTGAAGCACAAGAAACCACCGGTCAGAAACCTAATACCAAGAGGTCATTGCATTTGACCTCAGTGTCGAATATTGATGATGAAGCTAGCTAACATCTCCTGCCCGCTTTGATTTGAAAGAATGAAAGAAGAAATCAGGCGAGTTTGAAGTTTTACTCTTTTGGTCTGATTTCTTCGATTAGGGTTTTGAAATCGAAAGGCGAAAATGGAAATCACAACGGGACTAAGAGTGCATGAATAAAAGGAACAACCATGCATGCCATGAATTTAAGAAGTCAGTAGCGATTTGAAGTTTCATCTCTGAGATTTAGGGTTCAGATTTTGGGAGATTTGATTTTTGGTGTTGGAATAGGCAATGGTTCAGCGAGAATCCTGGATATGGGAGACAAACAAGATGATTTGAGGTCGATTTCACGACCTTGGACTAATTTGGGCAAGGTCTGTTGATCGATGGCATTAGGGAAGATGAGAGAAAAGAGAGAAGAAAGGGAAAGAAGGCGGCTGGGCGGGTAGGAAATGATTTAGGGTTTGGGGTGTGAGACCAAATAGTCTCTGAGTTAAAACGGGGGGAATAAATCTGGGCCGTTGGATCATTTGATCAACGGCCCTGATAAATCGGGGCGTTACATATTTTAGAAAATCAATTCCGAAAAATTTCGGGGACCGTTGGATCTGTATGATCCAACGACCGAGATAATTCTAATAGTGGGTCGAGATTTAAACGAAAAATAGGCATAATTTATGAATACTGATGATTCGAATCAACGGCTCAGATTGCCCATGTTTGTTTAGCGAGTGGAGATCAGAGGGTGACGTATCAGGTCGTGATTGGTTGAGAGGTAATGGCAAGGATTGCCAAGTTGGAAGGGGATGGGGTGTTTGGACTGGGTTGTTTTCCGATTGGGCTTGCACATTTGGGCAGAAAATGATTTAACTAATAGCCAATTTGTGTTTAGTGAAGGAATTGTAATTGTAGCCTTTTAGTTTTTTAACCCCTTTTAAAATCAATTTAAATAAACTTAACAATTTCAAAAATATGGTAAAATTATAATTACTATATGTTACTAATTATTTTAATTAATTATCTATAAATGATACTCATTTTGAATTATAGCACTAAATTCAAAATATTAAAATAGTAACCTAATGTACTAGAAATTAAGGAGTAATTTTGTCAAATTATAAAACGTATGTAATGTATATACAAAAGTTATTATATAATAGTAAATTACACAATATTGGTATTATGTGATTAATTTTGAAACTAATACTTAATTAATTTATAGAAAAATACCTTTAAAGCATTTATTGTAAATTGTTAAACGTGAATAAATTAATGTTAAAAGGGAGGGTCAAAATTGGCCGTCAACAATTATGACTTTTTTTCCCTAAAATCATATAATTTTATTTCTCACACAAAAATCATATAACTAGAGTTTTTTCTCCCACCAAAGTCATATAACTTTGTTTTCTCATACAAAAATCATATAACTTTTACTAACTCACAAAAAACTCACAGTGATCGAAAAATATAATTTTTCAGTAGTATGTTCTTATTTTGTGGTTTTTATTTTTTATTTTCAGTCGAATAAATAATAATCCAATTAAAACAGGGATGACCCAACTCGACCTGGCCCACCCGATCCAATACTCATATATATAAATTAAAATAATACTAAAAGTGAATAGTAGATCCTTCAAAACATGATACTTTCATATTTTATTTTTCTTTTCAAGATTTTTATTCAAATTGATAGCATTTTTATTTCAAGTGCTCCCTAACTATACCTTCTTTTTTTTGTCAGAATCTCATGCATTCCGAACTAAGTCTTTTATGGGGGAATAATTCACTTTTCGTATTATTTTAACTTGCGTATATGGTTATTGGGTCAGACTGGGTTGGGTCATTCCTATTTTAAGGAAAAAAAATATAAAATTAACCGACCGGTCGAAACTAATTGCATATGCTAACCAAAATATATATAGAATGTGTATGTTATATGTACATAATACACACATATATAAAAATATATTTTATCGCTATTATTTTTGGAAAGGCTAAAAATATACTCACATTTCTCCTATTTTAATTGGGTAATTATTTATTAGATTGAAAATAAAAAAAAATAAACAAAATAAGAATACCAGAAAATTTGTCTTCACGCCGCTATGAATTTTATGTGAGTTAGTGAAAGTTGATGATTTTTGTGTGAGAAAACAAAGTTATACGGCTTTTGTGGGAAAAAATCATATTATATAATTTTTTTGTGAGAAAATAAAGTTATATGGCTTTGGTGAAAAAAGTCATAGTTATATGACCATTTGTGAAATTTACCCTACTGAATAGGGTGTATAACTAACACAAGTATTAGTTGTACATAAGTTGAAAAACACTATCTGACAAGGGATTAATAATACCAAAGCTAATATATATATATATATATATATATATATATATATATATATATATATATATATATATATATATATATATATATATATTATTTTCCCTAATATATCCTTCCAAACGACCTCTAAATGTATAAAACGGTGTACTCAAAGTACTTTTTGACAAATGTATAAAAGGGAAAATTTCACATTAGAACGACTGGCTCCCTACTTTTCAATTTTATAGCTCATATTTCAATTTACAACTAACTAGCCCAAAAACAATAGGCTAAGATTCAACATCCAACTCCAATAGGTTCTCAAAATTATTATCTAATTTTTAAAAAAGATTCTCAAACTTTTAAGTTAATTTTCGAATCAGTAACTGTGACTCAAATATTAGTTCAACAAACAAAATCTATTTGGGTGGTGAAAATTAGATTTTTAACAAGCTTAAATATGCGGGTTAAATTCCGAATTTGATTTTGTGAGAAATTTGGAGTGGGTGTTATTTAGACTTGTTAGAAATAGTATAACGAGGTTGTATATAAATTTTGAATTTATTTAATGGAGATTTGGACTGGTTTTGAACAAGAATTGCAACTGAAAATCGTGAAAGAAGTTCGTCTACAGACGCTTGTATAAATGTGTATAAAAGTGTATAATAGTGTATAAGATGTGTTTATACACTCATATACACTATTATACAAGATTATACAAAAAATTGACTTCGTCTTCTTCCTTGTGTCTTTTCTGAAATTTAACTCAAATCTTGCTCAAATCTACTCCAAATCACTTCAAATTTAAATTTTGAACTCCTTTCGATATTTTCAATCAATTGGAGCAACACCCAATCCAAAAAAAACTAACAAACTCAGAAACCCATTTTCGAAAGCAAATATTTGAATGGTCTTCAATGGTGGACTTCTACTCTTCAATTTTCTTACATTGCAACCAGGTGACACAAGAGGAGAAGCAGAAAATATACGGCCCCTTGAAGCATATGTAGAAAATGTGAGAAGAAGAGAGAGTGAAAGCAATGGTTGTGATAACACGGATTTAATTCCATAGCTTTTAGAAGCAATGGTTGTAAGAACACATATTTTGAATTTTCTAGTGCTTTCAAAATATGTACAATGGGAGGTCTCTGCCCTGACAATGACTGTTTACCTTCCGTCTAGGCAAAGTTACAATATTAGTTTGTTACATCATCTTCAAACCCTTTCTTAAGTAATGAATCAGCATAATTCCTTAAATGCAAACTCACTCAATCATGGGCAAGGAAATAGGACTATCAAACCCATGACAGAAGGCAAAATCCTGCACGTGGACACTAGTGAAAGTTACCATCCAGTATCCAAACCCCACTAATCCGACTAAATTCAAATTCGCACAGCCAGGAGTTCCACCATTCTCAGGGCTCGAAATCAAGACCTCAGGTTAAGACTTACGAGTGGAGACATTCCACCATAATCTATGATGGTTTAAACACTCAGGCTCTTAACAAAGAACAAATACAAAATGAATTATGAAATTGCTTCTTGTCTAGTGTAGTTGAGCTACTATTTACTTTACTTATACATAATGATCTCAGGTTTGTTTTATAGTATTAGGAAAAGATGAATTGCACACACCACATAAGGTGTACAACACATTCATGCAAATCTTTTCGTCGTGCTATTAATAATCACCAAATATCAAGATGACGTCCATAAGCTCAATGGTAACATATGTTTCAGTAAAATCAAATTTATGTACAAGATTGAATATACACAAACCCAATGAACATATGTTACATACTTGCTGAATCAATGTCCAAATAGATATCAAAATCCTTTCCAAGCAGCAAGAACTTCATTGAAGATTTCACCAATGATTTCTCGGTCTGCATACTGCAGAAAGGCATTGAAATCATCTCTTATATCGAATATTTTACCAAACCTCACAAGATACCTCATACAACAGGCCTTCAGCTTTGGTAGTTGATAAAGGGAAGCAGTTTGAAGCCTCTCAAGAACATTCTTTGCATCAATATCTTCCATTAGACTTTCATGACATGCCTCCTTTAAATCTGAAAGGTCATATTTATCAGCGGCTCGAAGCAAAGCTAGCCTATGGATTAAAAATTCTTCATTTTGTATGTTCCCATAAATATAGTTCAGAAAACATTGGCAAGCTTCTATTGACATATCGGAGATGTTTATGGCAGATAATTCTTTCTCTTTGAGGTCATGGGAGAACATGCTTCGGAAGACAGGTGACCTTGCAGCAAGAACAGCACGATGCGCCCCAATACTTCCATCAGAAGCATTGATTATGATGTCTGTGTGAATGCTTTCTGACAACATACGGCCAAGTGATGTCAGAGCAGTAGCATTTGATTGTTTTTCGGTTAATCCTTCAGTCCAGATTGAGCACAGCTCACCACTCTGCAAGTTCACAAAACACAAAATGAACATGAATGAGGAGAACCATGGTAATCTAGAGAGAGGTTTCAAAATGCTACATTAGAAAGATCTCATCTCCTGAACAAGTTTTATCCTCAGTCACGGACCAGAACATCACACTAGGCAGTGGAAGATCCCGAATTTAGACGTTATTAGTTCTGAATCAATTCTGAGCTAACTCATTGGATCCACTACTGACGTTAGATTTGGTTGGGAAGAAATTCTAATTCGTCCAAATTTAAGTGTTTTGGTAGCAAATGAATTGTATTATGGCAAACATGCTCCTTATGTATATAATATGCACATAAAGAAAAGATGAGGAAACAGTACATTAGGAGCTGCAGTCTTCAGATCAAGGAATTCAACGTCAATAATGAACTTCCCAGTTAAGGGGACTTCAACTGGCCAAACAAAATCGTCGCTACTCTTGATTTGCTTGTCTATAACATCTGCAGATTCCAAACAATATTAATCACCAATTCACAAATGAGATTGATATGAGTTTAAGACAATTTTACCTTGGTGAATCAAAGTCTTGCGATCTCCAGCGGACGAGATTAATCTAATTATAAAAGATGCAATTGGAGGATTGTCTCTTGTAAAATTTGATATCTCTGGGTATAATTTAATGAACAATGTCCTGTTCTTCTCCACAGCTAAGTGCCTTCAATCAATTAAAAAGACTTTTAAATTTTAAATAAAATACGTACACTCCTTGCTTGCTTACTAATGTCACTACCATACATTACTATCATAGTGAATATTCACCTGAATTGTCTCCCCTTATCAAGAAATTTGCCAAGAAAAGAAATACCATATTAAAAAAAGAAGAAAGCATACACTGACAATTTTAACAGTTGCCACAATCAGGGACGAAGCCATCTTTTGCTAAGGGTGGTCAATTTAAATATTACGAATAATTACATTGTATATATAAGTAAATTATTAGATTTTAGATGTATATAACATATATTGAACACACTTTGTCAGGAAATATTTTTACTCCTTTCAAATCTGAACATCCTTAGAGAATTTTCTAGCTTCGCCACTGGCCACAAACTTAGGCTCGGAGACAGGAAAAAAAAGCTATAAATTTATTAATATAGCCTTTACCCCACTTTGTCATCTGTTTTTTGGGTAATAAAACAGAGGCCTAAGGTGATTCAATCAGCTCATCAGATGAGAAACAAACAACTAAATTGATCGATATACTTAAACAAACTGGGCTAAAAATTCATAGATTTTTGCAAAACTGTGGAACACAAAATTCAGAGACGGATGGAGCATAGCTTGTAGCCTTATACGGTTCAACTACACGGAGTATACATGTGTGAGAGAAACTACTACTGTAGTAATCTTTTTTACAAATATTAAATTATGAACCCGTAATATACTAATGAGTTTAGCGCTGAAGCCGCACTATAACAGCTAAAATTGAAGGCAATTTGTTGGCTGTAATTTGGTCTGTTTGATCAGAATATAAGAAACATAATAAGAATATATCAAAAGAGTGACTGACCAATTCCATTTGCCGATCTTAAAAGGATCAGACTTGCGGTAAGTACAAGAAGCCAAATTGTCGATCCGCCATTGAGCGAGGCGCGGAGTGGTATCAACACGATAAGCAGAATCACTCATCCTAGAAAATACAAGCGCTGCCGTGATTTCATGGATGCAATCGAATAAACCTTCCAACAATAACTCTCCGTGCTTTCCCAGGTTTGCTTCTCTCTCTATTCCTCATACACTTAAACCCCAAAGCAATATCGAATACACTCGCCCAGTTTATTACTACTACTACTTCATCTAGCTATCTTAAGGGTCTTATTTTTTCAGGGGATCGATGGGCCCAATTGGTTTTCTATAGGTTTCGGACACGCAAGGATGTTTCTTGTTAATGCTTTACGCCATTGATAGTGAAGTTTGCAGAATGGTTTTCTTGAGAAAAAGAAATTTTTTTTGGTGGGGACTGAGAGTTAATTCGCTAAAAATTTATTTGGCTTACACTACACTTCAGGGATGATGGTTGTTTACTCTGTTTATATACTACTGCTAGCGTACTGAGTTTAGGATTTTGTATTGCACTAAAAGTATTTTGGTTTCTTTTGTGGGTAGATTTGATGGACTGTAGTTACACATGTGCACGCCTTATGAAAGTAACAGAATGTTTATTTTTTTGCTTCTTTCAAGCAAAGTATCTTTGCTTTGAAATATTTCCAAAGCTTCCATATTTTTCAATTCTTTATTCTTTTCTTTGTTAATGTTTCAATTTTCATTGCTAGATTCTCTCTCTTAATCATTCCTTTTATTCTACTTTAAATTTTTGGGTTTATGTCTTTCTTCAAGAAACGGAGGGG